CTCTCCTCTGCCCACCCTTCCCCACAGGCTCCCGGAGAGGCCTGGGGCATCCGGGCCTGAAAACGCCCTGGGCTCTGGACTCTCCAGCCACTCCCTGCCTTACTTTGGGGAGATAGAAGCTAGAATCCGAGGTCTCGAGTGCCAAGGAGACCTCCTTAGACCTTGACTGGGGATGTCCACTCTCTTGGCCCCAACGGCCGCAACCGTCCAACCCATACAGGCCATGCCGGTGCCAGCAAGACAGGCATGTCCACACCGGGCACGAGCCCCTGGCAGGCCCCTTGTAGAGGTGGAGTGTGGTGGTCAAGCAGGGGACCTGGTGCCAGACAGCTTGGGTCCCTTTCTACCTGGCCAACTCCCTACCCTTCCAGTTTCCACCTCTGTAAACTGGGATCTTCAAAGCCAAAGCCCGTGGCAGGTGTTTTTATGTTCCCCGCTCTGGGCCCTAGGAAGTTTACTGAGCAGGTAAATGAGGTCACATCTGAGTCTCCCCCACGGAGGCAGGAAGCAGCTGTGCCCCGGACCCAGTGCTCTCACCCCAAGAAGGGGAGGTAGATCTCTGACCCCTGCCTCACAGTGTGCCTCCTACCTTCCCCCTCTGTCTGTGAGCTCCCTAAGGGTAGGCAGGGAGTCCTGGATCAGAGAGGTCTCCAGGGGCCTGCAGCAGGTGAGGGCTCAGCGAGGTTCCCAGGGGAGAAGTTAAGTCTTGAAGGAGCGGAAGGCAGAGGAAGGGCTATGGCCGCACACACCTGGAGTCACACAAGCAAAGCCCTGGCGCCCTGGGGCCCGTGGGGCAGGCAGGAGGGGCGGGCTGGGAGCTTCCATGACTCCCAGGTGGGGGAGACAGGTCTTTACTGTCCCCAGCGGGTTGTGCCCCCTCCCCTGGCTCTGAGCCCTCTTTCTGGCCATCAAGGTCGAGGTCATCTCTGCAGCTAGACAGATGGAGAGACGAGGCGCCTGGCGTTGCAGCGGGACCAAGGCCCAGGACATCTTTCTTTGGGTCAGGCCCAGGAGCGTGTTGTCCCCTGGAGGACTGAGAGCACCAAGTCTCAGAGGCGCTGAGGATTGGCAGGGAGGAGGAAGGCGGCTGCCCCTGAGAGACAGGGATCAGGGCGGTGGTGGCACCGTCAAGGCCTAGGAGAGAACTGGCCAGGGCTCCGTGTCACCTGTGGGCCAGGAGCAGGACGGCGACCCAGGCAGCTCAGGGAGGTATAGCTGGAAGCTCTGGGTGAGAGCAGAGAGGGACCGGAGGACGGTGCTGGAGACAGGGACCAGTACTACCATGGCTACTGTCATAGTATTAGTGATGACCAGCTTTTATTGAGCACCAAATGCATACCAGGCCTTTTATTTTATTATTATTATATTTTTGGTACCCAGGATTGAACCTAGGCTGAGCCACATCCCCAGCCCTTTTTATTTTGTATTATG